CAATTAATCACCAGAGAAATCCTTTATGTAGTAGAAGCTATAATATTTATGGAAGAAATGGAGGCTAGAAACGACTAAGTACATGTTGCAAATCCAGATGCTAGTATGTAACAAAGCTGGTAGAGGCACTTGGCTGATGTCAGTGACAGACGCGTGTTATTTTGCCTCACACACAAACAATTTCTAAATCTTGTTAATAGTAATAAATATTGATTTGATTCTTGTGGGATCAGCTTTCCGTGTTTTAGTTGTTACCAACTAAAATCCTCAAAGGTATATTCTACTTCTCCTTTATTCTCATTGCCAACAATATCTATTATTGTTTTATATTTTATATATATATACATATAATATTCTCTCTAGTATGCACCGATGTGCATATTTTGACTACTCATGCAAAGATAATGATCTGATTTTTTGCATATAGCTATTCTTATTATTTTTTTTAAAAAGTTTACAATGACAGTTACAGACAGTCTGGTATCACCGCCCAGATACTTTAGGGGAAGAGCTTGGCAGCTCAGCTAGGCAAAAATCCGTTAGCTACATCACCAAGGATCCTAGCTCTCCAAAGGCCTGGATGTTTATTGATCTGAGAGCTGTTTACCGTGATAAGGTCAGCAAAAGCAATGATGTGCGGTGGACTCTTGGCAGGAGTAATTGTGATGGTGAAGACCTGGTTGTCCACTCGGTTGTCGTCCATGTCTGAGACAGAGAAGTGGAAGCTATCCATAACCATGGGCTCTTCTGTCTCAAACACAGCTGAGTATCTATAGGACACAGGACAATAAAGGCAGAGTCACCCTGACAGGTCAAGTAAAAGGATTGTACTGTTGTTTAAAAACATGATCAGGAACAAGGCATTCTTTGAAGGAGCTACAGGCAGTTGCTTACCGCAATTCTTAAAACCACTTTCAAAGACTTTGCAGTGCTTACTTACATACCTAATGTTTTTGCTGTTGATGTCCTCCATGGTGAAATTGAAACCCTCCGAGAGCTCCTCCACATCCAGTCCCGAGGTCTTTAAGAGCACACCATACATGGGCAGAGAACTTAACTGAATCCAGATCTCTGGGTCAGGGGAAGAAT